TCGCTCGCTTCCCCAATGCTTTCTTTCCCTGGCGCCCCCGTCCTCCGAGGCTTGACCTCGCAGCTGCCTCGGGTTAACTGATAACAGCTGCGCCAGCTTCTCCTGTCTTTCGACTTTCCGGCGCCCCCCACAGTTGACCTCAGCTTATTCAGTCACGAACACACGTGCGCACACGCCCGCGTATACATGTGTGTGCACGCATGCCCAAGTAGTCGTGGCTTCCTAAGGGCCACTTAACACGCCACCTTTTTGGCCAACGCAGCAGCAGCCTTTGCAGGCGACATCCCCTCGGGCAATTGCAACACACCAATAACACCAGCACTTGAACCTGCCACCACTGTCATATTCACTCTCAGGTCTGGCTGGACGCAGCCAACACTAGATATGGCTTCGCCAGTGGTCACTGCTGCCTGGGATAGTAATTGGGAGTTTTGTACGCAATAAATCACTCCTTCTGGTGACTCTTGCCTTTTATTTTCCAACATGGGATTTGGCCTGATGATTGTAGTGATTCGAGTACACTCACTACTTAGACCGATAAAGCATGCCGAGAACTGGCTTCGCGCGAGGTCCTATGCGTGGAGTGACCTCGTCTGTGGCGTCACTACTTAGGAGGGAGTCGGGCTGTAGAACCACTACAACTGCATCGACTGAGGCAGGTAAAATTTCACTGAAGCCTTAGTTGGACAGGATACTGAATGCTTCCAAACGCAGTAGGCCGCTGTGAAGACTCTTCTCTGTTCAATGTGAAGAAATGTTAAGTTAATGTGAAGAAAGTTACTGTTCTTAAGGTGATTTTGTCCGGCAGGCTAGACAGTTAGAGACCCTCAAAAGTTTACACACACAGGCATATCAACCAATTGAATACCACCTGGCAGCAGTATTAATGGCTGATGCTAACTCCTCTTCAGACAAGAAATCGTAACGACCTGGCTGAAGAATAACAATTTTCAAAAAGTGAACGGCAGACTACCCAGGCAGTCTGAGTATACAGCAGATGAATACTGCTCCGACGTTTTTGTCTTCAACAATGCCGACCGGGCGAAACTCGCCGAGTCACAAATAGTTCGAGACAAAAATCTGGTTATTCAGGTCAGTTGTCTCTTTTATTCATGTGTTTGCTGTGGAAATATTTGAGACTAAGAGTGATTCCGACAAAGCCGGCAACGGCATAGCGACAAGTAATCGATAATCGATCAACATTGCCCACCGAGTCAAATGAGAATAATGTGGTTATTTCTGACTTATTGGTCGTTTTCAATCGGTGGCAACCCGCTTTTACGTTTGGATAAACCTGGGTTCGAGAACGGACGACTTGATCACAGTGTTGAGTCAAACGCTCTACAATAAAATCACGAAATTATACGCTGATTACGGTCACGGAGGCTAAGTCAAATCGCACTGGCGTACTTGGATCTATCCTGATGAGACAATTTTAATTTTGTCTAGAATCCTCAAAAACGACCACATAGGGACAAGTAGTCGAGAATCAAGAACGTATCGGTGAGCGTTGTGCCGTGATGTCTGAAGATACTTCTCTGATGATGCCTCTGATATTGGATTCGAACACGAATGCGACACTTCAGGCGAGTACAGGTTTTGCACTAGTGATCGCGTCTACCTCTCAGTTACCACCTGGCACTCGTATATTCGCTTGCATCGGAAAGAAAGCAAACCGAATAAAAATGTAAAGCACACTAACCTCCCTTCCCTACCTGTATCTTACTGTGATTGCCCTTCTTCCCATTAAGGTGCTGTAGGGATGTTTATCCTAATTGACACCAAGAAGCTCAATACGTCCTCGAAAATAATTGGTTGGCGATTTCGAAGAAAGTGGTCTGATCTCTCTCTCTTTCTTGGCAGGATCGAAGTCACCTGGTGGCTCTTCATGCTGTCCTATCTCACATCGGTGCCGGAGAGGAGGTACTGATAGCCAACACGACAAGTCCCTGGTGGGGAGTGCACTTGGAGAGTCTCCTTGCCAATAAATTTCCAACTGTGCAACCGGTGCCGCAAATACGCGTCAGCAGACAGCCCAAAGAGGACGAGGATCCAAAATTTCTCACGAAAGCTGGCTCAAAATGTCAGTACGCTTTTAGAGGCTACTTCTGTTTGTCAATCTCTCCAACGTACCCTTCCTTTCTGAAGTTTAAAAAAGACAGGGCAAAAATGATTTGCAGGACCTCTCTAGATATCTATTCCCCCCGCCCAACTGCTTAAAGTATTTTGTGGTCAAACATTTAATTATTGGCTAGTGAGCGTAAATTAATATGTAATTGTAGCTGGAGGAAGTCACCCCCTGTGTTGCCTAGCACATTGCATGAGCAGTGGATTTCACACGTCAACACTGCTTCTAAACGTATATATATATATAAACTTGTTCTTGCATGAATAAAATTACTAATCCTTTCTTTCAGCTACCAAAATGCTGACAGACGATTTTCTTACCATTGGGCCACCCACTGATCCCTACAAAAATGTGCGTCATGTGATACTGGAGGCCTCTGATACACGGTCCGGTGTATGCAGCCCCGTTGACTACATCGAATGTGAAAACGATGGTAAGGATTCCGATTCCAAACTTAATTCAACGTTCATAGTGTGGTAAGGTTGGACAAAGTTGGTTCAGAAGAACCTCTTTACAGGTCATTATTTAAAGAGAAGATTCCCTATCTTGTGAAAAGTCAACCAAAATGCGGAAATGTATCTTTGATTCGAACAACTTACTTAAGCAGGGTTGTCAAATGAATTATCGTGCAGCCTTGTCGCAAGACATTTTGGTCACATCCAGGTGCTGGCTTTTGAACGAGCCTTTCTCATGATCGCCTGCGAAATGTTTATTATGTAAAAGTGGCTACTTATGTTGTATGTATTTTCCCCATCGTTTTTCAATGTCCGTATAAATTCAAATACATTCTATACAAAAAATGCATAAAATACCCTTTCTTATATCTACGTGTTAAGAAATTACGGTTCCTTCATTTTTTAATTCAAGAGATTTTCTTCTGACTCAAAAAAGTTTCTAAATTGCCGAGTAATTTGCACACCTACCGTTTGTAATACTTGAGCACAATTTCCTCAAACTATATGCTGCATACATTCTGACTAGTAAAACTCGTATACTTCTGTACGCTATGGGGGCTAGGTCAAATAGAGTTCTTAAAATTTAGCTGTGCATGTGGATGATCTTATATACTTAATGGGCAACATTAATTAATTGACGGCTAGGATGTTTTATGAATGAAGATGTCATAACCTAAGAAATCTCATAATAAGAAACTTTTTTTAAAAAAAAAAACGAAAGATACCTTCTTCAAGTATAAAATTTTAAGAATGCGTAATTTTCTGAGGAACAAGTAAAGTAAAGAATATATTTGCGTCTGCTTCCCATAAAATGTAGTTGAAACAATTTGGAAACAATTCATACTACTTATGAAGTCATTTTTACAGGGTACGCTTTTGGCAGGCAATTAGACAGAAGTTAGTTCAAAAGCCGATCTCGGATGTGCTTGAAATGTCTTGGAAGGAGGCCACTCGACCAACATGATTACAAATCTACCTAACCGTAAAAAACCTTTCGGAATATCAATTGACCTTCCTTGAAACAGAAAATCTACTGTAACTGTGTTTTCGAGCCCAACTAAGAAAAATAACAGTTTCGCACTTTTGCGATTTTTGATTGAGTTTTGGCATTCGTGGTTTCCAAAAGTAATTCAACCATGAATATTTAAATAGAAAATTCTAATCGAAAGATTTTCGGCCTGCCGTAATCATATGCGTTTAAAGAAGATCATGTTCAGATGGCCAGATTTTGAAGGACAGGTGCCTGATATCAAGCATTTTAAACCGTTTGAACCATTTGAGACGAGTAACTTCATGCGGGGGAAGATTAAGTGTTAACCGGGAGGTACATATATATATACAATGTAAAGGACAAGGAAGACTGGGATGGTCATTTCCGGCTTCTTAGCCAACCTTATCCAAACGCAGATTTCGGCGTATTTGGGGCCCGAAACGGCGTTGGTTGTTCACCGAGCGTTATCATGTCCACCGCTCTAACATTGAGGCACGAGCCCGGTCTTCTGTCGATTGCGATTGAGGATACTAACTATGTGGACAGATAGTATTGCCGGCA